GGAGGCGTCCGAGGGCCCGATGCCATTCCTCCGGAGGTCGCTCTCCATAAACACGAAGCGGTCGGTCCACATGCCCTGGACGGCCAGGGAACACAGGCTGTGCAGCTGCTCCTGGCCCCGCCGGCTGGGGCTGTCGGCGGCCCTGGGCGAGAAGAGGTGGAAGAAGAAGGAGGTGTAGAGAGCGGTGCTGCGCTGGACGGTGCGTGCCACGACCTTGCCTTCGTCCATCTCGTACTTCAGGGCCATGAACGTCAGCCAGCAGAGGACAGGCAGGCGGCACAGCCCATAGAACCGCTCCCTGCCCTGGATGAAACTGAAGGCCTCCACGCTTCTGTGCATGTCTTCAAACACGCCGTAGGCGCACAGCCTGATGTCACTCTCGCGGAAGCCGGTGAGCAGCCTGGCATCGGCGTCCTCCAGCCTGTCCTGGAAGTCCTTGGTGAACAGGGAGTCCACCGTGACTACCAGGGAGCACTCCGGGATCATCCTCCGCCTCAGCAAACTGCTCAGCAGCAGCTGCGGCGTTCGCACGTCCACCCAGTCCCGGCACAGCTCCCCCTCCGGCTCTCGCAGGTCGCTCCCCAGCTTGTCTAAGTTGTCCACCAGGAACAGGACCTTCCTGGGGTGCGCCAGGATCTCGCCCACAGGGACGCAGGATTCAGGCCACATGCTGCCGATCAGTTCTGCCAGGCTCAGCGCCGGCAGCAGCTTCAGTTCCTGGCAGCAGAAGTAGAAGACGTAGGAGAACCTGTCCTGGTAGATGAGGCCCCTGGCCCAGGCCAGCATGATCTTGCCCAGGTAGGTCGTCTTGCCGATGCCGGGGGCCCCATGCAGGAGCACAGTGTGGCTCTGCTTCCTGGGAGCCTCGGGTGGGAAGAGGAGCTCCAGCTGTTTTCTCTCTTCCTGGGTGATGTCCTGCTCGAAGCTCCTGTGGAACATGGCGATGGGTTCCCTGGCCATGAGCTCTCTGAATTTCTCCCTCATGTGAGCCTGATACATCTTCGAGTGTCCTGGGTCAGCGAGCACAAGAGAGATCACAACAAGGCAAAGGGAAGCTCTCAGGCCTGCCGCTCTGGCCCTCACCTCTTCCCCTTCACACGCATCTCCCAGGCCCTGGGAGCGGGTCCACTAGTGCCCGGCCGCCTTGCGCGGCACTGTGCTCAGCTGCCCCCTGCCCCTGCAGACCTGCACAGCCGCGACTGAGATGGCACTGCCCGGAAGAGCCGGACAGGAGACTGGGTGTGAGAGAACTGCAAGAAACAGGTACCCGGACTGTATACAGGGATGAAAGGCACAAAATGCAGACAAGAGCTGGTGGATGCAGCGTAAAGACTGCTGTGTCCAGCTGGCGGGTGGAGGAAGCTGGGAGGACGAGTGAACACGTGAATGACAGAGGCTGGAGCTGGGAGCTCAGGGGCCTTGTGACGCGGAGCAGCCTGGGCGCCAAGAGCCATGGGGGGCGCGTCACGAGGGGACAAGAGGAGGCCCTGACAGCGACTCAGGACGGCTGCTGCCTGCCCTCCATGTCCTAAACGTGCAAAGTGACAGCGATGCCCTCAACCAGGACGGACACCAGTGCCATGCGTGAGGCTGTAGCGCCTTTAGGTCATGGCTTCTCTGTGGGAAGCACCTGTTGGTCTCATTGCATGCGTGGCAGTGACGAGGAAGCCTCGCCCAGCGCTGCATCCCAGGGCTGTTGCAGGGCCTTGAGGGTCGCTCCCCTGAGCCTTGGGTCACCAGGGCTGTAGCAGGGCCCACTGGCTGTGGCTACCAGGCCAAATCTCAGCCCCAAGTAGAATGAGTGAGGATCCAGAGGGACGCACAATAGTGAGGGCAGGGCCCCCACCTGCTGCACTAGGTCGTTGCCTCCCTGGAGCACAGGCTCCCCCTCACGCGCTCCGACCATGACCCCACAGCAGATGGGCTTGCGGTGTCTGCCAGCCCAGACACCAGCCTCGCTGTGCACAGCCACCCCCGGCCCCACACACCGGTACTCTCCCTCGTGGCCCTCTCGCAGAGATCCCTCCTGTCGATCCTCAGGAAGATCCTGAAGGTCACCTCCCAGGCCTGCTGCCCCTCGTAGTGCTTGAGCAGCAGGCTGGCCAGTTCTTCCCGCGACGCCTTCTTCACTTCAGCCCAAGGGATCTGCTGCAGTCCCATATGCAACGTCTCCTCCTTGAGGAACTCCTTGAACTTCATGAACTCCTTCTTCTTGAGCTCCTCCAGGTACCACATGAGGCCGAAGTCGGAAAAGAAAGACGACGCCATCTGGCCCAGGCACAGCGATCTGCCTCTGAGGAGACAACCGCAGGAACGAGAAGTGGGGCCTGCAGAAGAGCCAGGGGCAGCGAGTTACGGAGAGGTCGCTAAGTTTTCACTCAGCGCCCGTTGGTAACGGGGCGCAGGGTGAGGGCAGGGAATGTCATCTCCCCTTTCTCACGGAGCTGCTCATGACAGCAGCAGTAAACCGGAGCGAGGGAGACTCTATACCTGAGAGAATTACGCCAAACCCAGCTCTGATGATTGCAGGTAAAAAGAGCAAAAACCCTGCAAGGTTAGGAGCCAGGAAGCTGTCCTGATGAGGCTATAGGATACTTGGCTGGTTTAGTGAGCTGTAAGGATAAATCAGATGTGCCAAACGGCCTAGCTGTAGTATTAGGGAATTCGGATTTCATGCACAAGCATGACGATAGGTGAGGAGGATCTGCCCTGGGGAAAAGCCGGTGGGAAGTGGAGTGAGCTATAAGGAGAGGGAACTCTCATTCTGCCCAGTATATGAGAGAGAAACCAGGAGCCGGCCGTGGTGGCGCACCCTGTAATCCCAGCACTCGGACGGCTGAGTCAGCAAGACGTTGCAAGTCTGAGACTAGCCTGGGCTGCAAAGTGAGCTCCAGGCCAGGCTGGGCTGCAGAGTGAGACCCTGTCTCAAAAAGACTAGATAGATTTTTCAACAACTGATAAACGAGGCTGAGATAACTAGACGTCCACAGACAAAAGAAATGAATTAACCCAGCATTGGAGAGCGCGTCACATCTGATGCAGAAATGGGCATCAGGGGAAGGTGGACGTAAAACCTCAGCAGGTGCATCAGAGGAGACAGACAGGTGGCAAATCACTACTGGAAAGTGGTTTAGGGTCATTTTTCATTAGTAAACTGAAAACTAAATGATGCCAAGATCTGCCGCACAGCAAGCACGAGTAAGACTGTGCACATCGACCGCTGACCAGGATGCGAAGCCACTGAGATCCCCATCGCTGTGGCAGAAGCGCGAGATGTCATCGCCACCAGAGAGGACGGCTGGCTTCCCGGCCTCTGGACCTACGCAGAAATCAAGGCACTTTGCTGGAGTCCTGGGCGTGCGCTGCTTACTCTGGGACAGTAGCCCGAGCACAGGAGCTTCCAGGAGCCACACAGCCCGGCAGCACCAGCGCCCGGCCCGAGGCTCATGAGCCCTCAGCACAGGATGGTCACGGTGCGGTGCGTCCTTGACACAGCGCAAAACCGGGTCCCTCCTGAGGCCTGTGGGGACGCTCACGCGCAGGCACGTGGACGCCTTCTGAGCCATCCCTAGAACTTCCCTGGGTCTAAAACAATTCCTAATAAGAAAGCTCAAACGTAGGGCAAGTAGTTATTGATCACACACACACACACACACACACACACACACACACACACACACACACGTGCGCGCACCACCCCATAGACATTTGCAGAATCCTGCGTGGGATTCTCTGTCCCGACGCAACAAAAGTTGGTGCCAGTACTAACATCAATGAAAGCACTACCTGACACAGTGAAAACTGAAACTAAAATAAAATTTGACTCATAGGCGAACATTTGGCAGAATTTCCTCATAATGGAGACTAAGTGATGTATTAAAAAAAAACCTTAATAAAAATCAAAGAGCCAAAGAACGAGGAAATGATTAAGCAGCCTGCAGAACAAGGAGACAATTACAAAAGGCCCCCCACCCCCCTTCCTTGGCGCCCCTTCCAATAGCACCGAAAAACCCGCCAAGCACAGTGTTGAACCCAGATGCCGCGGCCTGCGTCCTCCCCACCCGGGACCTGCTCTGCAGCCACAGCTCCCCCGGCCCATCAGGACACCTGGTGCTGTTAGACGCCCTTTCCCTGGTTCCCACCCTAGGCGCTGTGAATTCTGACCAGCTGGCAAACCCTCCACTGCTAGAGACCACTATGAAGCAGCGCTGAGCAGGCCTGCAATTAGTGCACGGGCTTCCCACGTCTACTTGGGAGTCTGTCCAAGGCCTGGACTCCTTGCCTGGAGATGGGCGGGGGACTCGCAGGAGGTGACCCTCTGTGGGTCACTGGGCCCTACTAGGCCTGCAATGGTGGGAGACACAGTGAAGCCTCAGAGGATAAGACAAAGTCACAGAGGATAAGACAAGGACACCTGGATCCAACCTCAGCCTCAAGGCTGTGGGTGGCCTCAGGCATCTCACTCTCTCTTGGGTGAATGAACCTGTTTTTTTATTTTGAGACAGAGGCAGAAGCAGCACGCAGACATTCCCTGATCCTCCCTAGCCCGACTTTCTGCTTGCTGACCGGACAGCAGTGTGGAAGCGTACTCACATCCCGGTCCTGCTGCCCACTTCCGGCAGAGCCTTCACGCGTGAGGAGGCTGCCCGTGTGTCCAGGCGAGGTCGACTTTGTGCTGACTGGGGGGTTCTGCCCAAGGGTAGGTGGACGGGAGGGTTCTGAGCACGTTCGCTGGGCTGGCTTTGGCAGTTAGGGGGAGGGTCACACTGCTGGGGCTCAGGGTCCACCCAGGGGGCTGGTGAAGCACGCATCCGGGGGCTGATGCGTCACGCAGCAGGGCCCTGCAGCCTGAGCCTGGCTCCTTCCTCCCTGCCCCAGCTCCTGTCCTCTGCCTGCAGCCACCATGAGCTCAGCAGCGTGGCTCTGCACACCCTCTGCCACATTGCTGCCGCCAAGGAGCCGGCTGGCTGTGGCCTGAATCCTCTGAGCCCACGAGCAGCTGCGGGGTGTGGTATCGGGATGGGGGCTCCCCAACAGGGAAGCTGGGCAACGCACTGAGCTGAGCCATGCGGTTCTCCAGTGCTGGGTAGTGACTGCGTTTCCAAGTTCCACAGTGGTTGACCGGGGTGTATCGTTGTTGTGAAAGGGCACACTTATCTGACACAATTGGGACCTCTCCATTAGCAGGTGAGCTAAATCAGTCTACTAACCAAGAAGTTCAGGAGGACAAGCCACAAAGCCACACTCAGATACATGGTGGGGAAACCAAGAGCTAAATGACAAGGATAAAGACCTGGAAGGCAGCTGGGTGGTAGCAGGGCAGGAGAAGGCAGCCCTGTCCCTCCAGAGCAGGGCAGTTGGAATAGCAGCAGCCCCTCAGTGTGACAGAAGGGGGCAGCCCACGGCAGAGGTACCATCAGAATAAAATCACCATTTAAGAAGGAAAAGTAGGGCTGCGGAGATAGCCTGGCAGCGGAAGCACCTGCGTGCCAGGCATGAGGGCCCAAGTTTGATCCCTAGTACTGCATGCCACATCAGTCTTGAAACCTGGGGTGCACCGCGCTGGTCCTGACACTGGGCATGGTGGCGCATGCCTGTAATCCCAGCACTGGGGAGGCTGAGACAGGAGGATCACTACGAGTCTCAACTTTGTAGTAAGACCTTGTATCCAATACGTAAATTAATTTTTAAAAAGAAGTAAAGCTGACACCCATCGGTAAATGATGTTTCCAAAGTAGATTTACATGATAATATATTCTAAATAGTGACCATCGAACTAAAGCACCTGCTTAGGCAGAGCACAGTGGCCGAGTTCGATTTCCAGCCTACCGTGTGGGCCTTACCCCCGGGGCCCGCAGAGACAGAGATTGAGACTGGGTGTAGTGGTGCGTACTTGTAATCCCAGTGCTTGGAAGGCTAAAAACAGGAGAATCACTATGAGTCTGATCTAGTAGTGAGACCCTGTAGACCCTGTACCAAATACATGATAGATAGATAGATAGATAGATAGATAGATAGATAGATAGATAGAGGCCATTGGAGAGAACTATAGGGTCTCACTACGTAGATCAGCCTCATAGTGATTCTCCTGTTTTTAGCCTCCCAAGCACTGGGATTACAAGCGCACACCACCATGCCCAATCCCAGTCTCCGTCTCAGGGCGCCCTGGGAGCGAGGCCAGCACAGCAGGCTGGGAATCAAGCCCTGGCCGCTGTGCTCTGCCTAAGCAGATCCTGTAAGAGAATTTGGAGCTGAGCATGCTCAGGACCCGGTTCGGAAGACGGTCAGAGCAAGAGGTCCGCATTCGATGCCGATAAGCCCAAGAACCGGCTGGATTCTGACACAGTTGTGAGGGCTTATCTGCCAAAGCACATGGAAGGAAAAGGACACAGCCAACTCATCCAAACTAGCCAGGAAGGACAGAAAGAGGAAGTGCAACAGATAAGCAGAGACAGAGATGATTAGATCAGACCAAGAACCACCACAGAAAGTGAATCTATGAAAAAGTACTCAGATTTTGACTAAAACTGGCAGTGTGACAAGCCAAACCTTAGCAATAAATAGACGTTGTATGCACGTGAGATTTTCAAATTACCAAGAAGAGAGAACACTGTAATTACACAAGCAATTCTAACGGCCTGAAAACATGCCATCTGTCAGGAGTAGAAGGAAAAGCCAAGACTGGATCATAGCAGGGTGCTTCATCGATTTGTTCCGACAATTAGCTAAGCAAACTAACATGAGAACAAAAAATTAGGCGGAAGTAGGTTTTCCTGTGTATACTAACCGCTTCATTCAGCTACAAACGTGTTTAGCTGAATCACCCATTAATATCAGCGACACAGTGCCGCTTAGAGTAAGTTTCACTAAGGTTCAGACAACAGACGTTGTAGAGTATTCTGATCATAGTTTATGTCAGGAATCAACAGTGAAATGATCTAAAGATGACAAAATTGAGAAATATGCTTCCAGGTATATTAACAAAAATATTATGAAATAAGTACAATAAGTAAAATCTGAACGGAGTGACATTTCCTGTTGTCACACATGAAAGCCGAGTGGGGTGCAGCCCACCAAAATGGAAAAAAAAATGAGCTCTATCCAAGGTATAAAAGGGAAGTTCAAAATTTAAGAAATACACCATTATGGTGGACACGCCTATAATCCCAGCACCCAGGAGGCTGAGGCAGGAGGACCACTGCAAGTTCAAGACCAGCATGGGCTACAAAGTGAGCTCCAGGCCAGCCTGAGCTGCAGAGCGAGACCCC